CTTTCTTTCTTTCTTTCTTTCTTTCTTTCTTTCTTTCTTTCTTTCTTCTGATTTTCTTTCTTTTTTCTTTTTAATACAATTTATTGTCAAGTTAGCTAACATACAATGTATACAGTGTGCTCTTTGTTTCCTGGGTAGATTCCTATGATTCATCGCTTACATACAACACCCAGTACTCACCACAAAAGTGCCCTCCTCAATGCCCATCACCCATTTTCCCCTCTCCCCCACTTCCCCATCAACCCTCAGTTTGTTCTCTATTATTTTCTTTTTTTTTTTTAATTTTTTTTTTCAACGTTTATTTATTTTTGGGACAGAGAGAGACAGAGCATGAACGGGGGAGGGGCAGAGAGAGAGGGAGACACAGAATCGGAAACAGGCTCCAGGCTCTGAGCCATCAGCCCAGAGCCTGACGCGGGGCTCGAACTCACGGACCGCGAGATCGTGACCTGGCTGAAGTCGGACGCTTAACCGACTGCGCCACCCAGGCGCCCCTGATCTCTATTATTTTCAAATGTGAGTTTTAGCCACAAAAAGCATAAAAATTGGAATGGAGATATAAGAGGTGGTGATATTTGATTTTACAGTAAAATGAGAATTTATTAATCATATTTGGGTTTCTACTCTGTTGATGCAGATGATGGAAGAAAGAATTGGACTCCTGCTTTTAAATGAAAATATGTATATAAATCGGCCAATATGGATCCACTCCTGTCACTGTAGTGCTCAATGAATATGACTTTTCTTCTCTCCCACTCAGTAGGTGATGTCTCTTCCACATGCCAATGGGAAATTGTACTAAAGAGTGGGCAGGAGTCAAAACTTCAGTCATTGGTTTTCCACTTTGGCCTGTGAACATCTGCAGGCAGGGTGGGCAGGATTGGGGGAGGGGTGGCTAGAAGGTTAGCAGAGTATCTGCAAAAGCTTTGAAATCCCTATGTGCACTGAGCATTGCATACAGATGGATTAAACACTATCTTTTATACAGAGTTCTTATTCTTTCTCAAATATCTATATACATATCATTATGGTAAATAAAACACCTATTTATCTATAATCATACAAAATGAATTGTAATTTTTGGCCATCCTGCATTTTCTCAGCTGCTATCAAGGGACGTCTGAGAAATTTTTTGAATAAAAGGTTTCCTCACACTGAAAAACAAGGGGAGCTGCTATTCTAGAGCATTGCTTAAGGCAGGGTTTCCCAGGTGTGGTCCTAAGACTCTGTGGTACCTGTTTAATGAGCAGGTTGCCTGGCTCTATCCCTGACCGTCTGGATTCGAATCTCCCAGGGCAACTGGAGATCTGCTTTTTAAACAGATTGCCTAATGCCAATTTTTCCTGTGCCTTGACATTTGAGAACCATGGGTTTAAGGGAATTGGAAAATACCTTCACACAATCAGGAATCAACTTCAGAAGGTTAAAGCTGTGCTTTTTCAGTGTCACCTGAAGATGGAGTGTCTCTTTCCTCTTTAAATCCTTGCATACTTTCCAGAAACTTGCTAGAATATCTATCAATCATGTCACATAATCTCTTGACAATTTTAAAGCACTGTATCCCTTCTGGAACTCCAACAACAACAACAAAATGGTTTTGGACCATCTACAGATGTGGCTTAGTCGCATGGCTATTTGCTTCATTGTGCACTGAAATACCATGCAAATTAAATTACAGTGGGCAGAGGAGCTCGACTACAGATCTGAAATCATTAGTAACTCCTGGGGGCATTCACCTGATTTGCGTGTATTTAAATATAATCTCCAATAAAATTAGGAAAACTTTACCACCATCTGTGTTGCCATAGCAAAATGCAGGGGCAGCAAATATCCGGTCTATGTTTTGACACCCACTTCTCTAGCTGCATGGCAGCCAGACATTTCTAATCAATTCCAGCAAAACGTCCCCTTGAATCACAATATTTATGCCTCAAAATGCTGTACCCCAGGTGACTATTAGCAGATGGGATGACTGGGCGATGAAACCTATTTGCTATGTCTGGAGTGGAGAAGGGTATAGGCTCTGTAGTCAAATGGGATTAGGAGGCTCAAATCCCAGTTTTGCTGCTTAGAAGTTATGGGACCCAGAGCAAGATATTTCAGATATTTAAGTACTCTGGCATTCTCGTTCTCCTCATCTGCAAATGCAGGATGTTCGGCCCATCTCACAGGATTGTTATGAAGGTGACAGAAAGAACCCATGTGAATTGCTTAGTTCCTAGTACATACTGGGTGCTCAGTACATTTTAGGTACTATTAATTTTAATAAAGCTTGAATGAATGTAGTGATGAACACAAGGAGAAAAGAACCCATTTTGAGGGACGACTTGAGTTCTGTAAAGCAAGTATGAAGGATTTTATAGCAAAGTGCATCCTGATTGTAGCCCCTTCTCTGGGATTATGGCTTATATGGCTCACATTTATTGAGGGCTTAATAAATTCCAGAAAGCATCCTAAGCACTTTATGAGGGGTAACTAATCCTCACAAGAACCCTGTGAAGTAAATGTGCTTATCCCCAATTTATAGATGAGCCACCTGGGGCATAAAAGGGTTCAGTAGCTTAGGAGGGATGGAATTTGACCCGTGCTGTTCAGAATGAGGACCTTGGCCAGCAACCCCACTGGGAACTGTGAAAAATACAAACTCTTGGGTGCCACTTCTGGGCCCCCAATCGAAAACTCGGGGGTGGGCCCTGAAGTCTTTGTTGACCAAGCCCCCCAGGTGATTCTGAGGTGTGTTAACCTGTCAGAACCTCAGGCTGGAAGGCAGAGGCTCCACCAGCACTAGCAGAGAAGCAGTAATGAATGGGCAGGAGCAGCATGATGGGGTCAGAGAAGGCACATCCCTTCTGAGTGCCTTTTCACAAACTTTTCATTCCTATCTGTGTTTCTTCCACAGAAAGCACCCTGGAATCCTATATGTATTTGTTTGTTTCTTCTTTATGAGGAAAATCGGTTGGTTTTTGCTATTGCTTTTTCACTTTGTGTTACAGGTTCAGTAGAACAAACGAGAAAACCCGTCTCTCTCTGAATTGTATAGGAACTAGTGTGAAAGGCACCCATGTCTCTTTCAAATCCCTGCTCTCTTTGATTTATACAGATGTGAGTTCCTGCATTTCCCCTCTCTGCAGGCTCTTGTCTTTTCCCTGTCCTTCAGCTCAGCTCAATAACTTCTGACCATCACGGGAGGCTTGGAACCCTCTCTGCTACATGAATTTGAAAGAGCCTGTGTAGAGGCTTGCAGCATATAATAAAAATTATAATAAAAATCTAGATGCGTAAGAAGCTTGGTGCTCAGGACTGTCCAGTCACTGCTTCACGGAATCTTTGTAAGGATCTTAGTGTTGCATGCATTGCCATTATCATACCCCATGCAAGCGAGAACACTTACCCACCCTTAGCTTTAGGAGTTACCTAACCTTCCCAGAGTGTGAGCCACAAGGCCAGGATTCAACCCCATGTCTGTCTGACACCCAAGCCCATTCTCTTAGCCATATACTTTGTGTGACAGAGGAGGAAGGATTGATGGAAATCTGAGACCACTGATGTCACTAAGGTAGAAAATCCAGAACCTGCTAGAGAGAAACTGGGTGCTGGGATTTAGGGACTTTCCCTGGCGATTTTATCCTGCTCTGCTTTTTAACCTTGTCACATGATCATGAACCCCAGAAGGCTCTCTAGCTGTTATTTGTTGAGTGGGTTCCATCTGACTGCTGTTTAGCTTCAGAAAGACAGAGTGCACTTGGGGATGAGGGAGGATCTGTCCCAAAAGCCTGCTCATCCTTTCCCAGTGACCTCTGGGGTAACATGCACTTTGGGGGAGGGGGAGGGAAGGAGGAAAACAATTCATCCTGAGCCTACTTCCATCTGCCACTTCCCTGTCATCTCTCTAAGGGACCTGTTCTGCCCCTGCCAACCCCAGCTGGTAATACACGAATACCCAGCCAGAACAAGTTAAAAAGAACAAAACAAAAGCCAGCCACGTGTTGCCCTGTTTCTCTGGAATTCAGCCAGACTTTCTCTTGTTTTGGCCACACAGACCTTCCCTAGCTTGCTTTTTGCTTCTCCAGCTCCAACCTCCTTCACTTCAGTGTTTTAGTTCTCTGTGTTCATTTCAGACTTTCTTTTCCTAACAAACGATATTGGCCCTTCATCCCCAGGCCTCACTCTTAGCATGCTCTGGGCACGCGTATGAGATTCTCCCTGGGCCCATGCACCCCGGCTGTGGTAAGGGTGGTCACCGAGTTCTAGCATCGTGCCAGAGCTGGGAGGGGATCAAATATCTCATGGGATGGAAAATTCCAAGCTCTCAAGATCTGAGCAGTGGATCTGAAACTTCAGAGTAGCTAAGAATCTCCTGGGGATTTTATTACAATGCAGATTCTTAAGTCCCTTCTCTGTGAATTCTGATTCAGTAAGTTTGAGGTGAAGCCCAGGAATCTGCATTTTAATGAGCAGCTGGATAGTTCGTATGCTTCACTTGGGGAATAGAGGTTTGCTGGTAGCATGAGGGTGTCAGATCATGTCACATCAAGCCTTTGGTTAGCAGAGGACCTGGGAGTGTGTGCGTATGTGGTGGGTGGCACAGTGGTGCTAAACTTATAACCAAACTGGGAAAGTCAGCACTGTCGGTGAACAAGAAGGCAATGGACACCCTCACACTCTTCCTCCCCTTCTATCACTTCCCCATTGCTTTCTCTTCCAAAAGGTATTCTTTGGAGGATCTCTTCCAAGAAAACTTGATTATACGTAAAATAGCTGCCAACAAAGCTGTGCTAGTTGTGGCTGAGGGGGTTTCAAGGGCTCCAAGCTGACCTCTCTTCTATTTTATCCCTTGAGAAAGTACCTAAGGTAGATCCATGGACCCTTTAGGGTTCCTTCAGGATTCACTGGAAAAGTCTTAAAATTTTGTTTTAAGCTTATTTGTTTTGAGAGAGAGTGTGTGTGAGCAGGGGGGCAAGAGAGAAGGAGAGAGAGAATCCCAAGCAAGCTCCGTGCTGTCAGCACAGTGCCCAGTGCAGGGCTCGAACTCACAAACCGTGAGATCGTGACCTGGACCAAAACCAAGAGTTGGACACCTAACCGACTGAGCCACCCAGGCACCCTGAAAACAATTTTAATCCAACCCCCATTTTACAGGTGAAGAAGTTGAGACCCAGATAAAGGAAGTGACTCTTGTAGAGCTAGCTGGAGACATAACCGGATGATTACTGGATCCACTCTCAGGCCACCGAGGTTTTCCAGACCGTGCTCATTAGAACACCAGTGTCCAATGTGAGGTCAGTAGGAGTTCTGGGGGACTAAGGAGTGAGCTGTGGCCTTATACGTAAGTTTGGGCAACACTGGATATAGCCATACTAAGCAGATTTCTTTATTGCAAGATTTCACAAGCCCCTGAATATTCTAATGAGAGGTGTGACTCTCCAATAAATGTTATGGAGGCAGAATTTTCCAAACCCATTTAATAACAGACACTTTCCTCACCTTTGTAATGTGTTAGTGTCTCAGTGGACACTATTGCAAGGGATACTATTTGGGGGATTGCTGTAATACACTGTGTTGCCCTGAGACGAGACAGAGAAAGTCCATAGTCACCAAAGACTAGAATCCTCAGAGGGTTATCAATCACATAGACTTGCTCTGGACCAGCCATCTCTGACAGTTAAGGTGCCACAGCTGGGCTCCAGGTGGACCAGTGTTACCACTCCAGGAAAAAGAAGCCACAGGCCGAAACAGCTGTGAGCTGGCTGACAGAGTAGCTGTCAGCCCCATTCCTGAGGGATGCAGAAATCCAGCTCTCATGGGGCGCCTGGGTGACTCATTCGGTTGAGTATCTGGCTGTTGATTTCGGCTCAC